CAAAACGTCAGGAATACATTCTTCTAGAACATGGCCTCACAGCCCGAACAACCCACAAAAACCTATGGATGCTGGCTGTGAAAGCCTTTGACGTCTCTGAAGATGGCAGCCACAGATGCAGGCAAAACGTCAGGAATACATTCTTCTAGAACATGGCCTCACAGCCCGAAAAACCCACAAAAACCTATGGATGCTGGCTGTGAAAGCCTTCAACTTCACAGTTTTATTGTTGTTTTCATTGTCCTGGGAGCCCTTGCAAGTTGGGAGGTGATACAGAAATACTTCAAATAAATATATGAATAAATCCCTTAAATGCCCCTATGATATAAGTTCAAAGAAGAGGGAGGATATTGGCTAGTGTGACCAGGCACAAGCCCCGAGTGAGAATATGGATGCTGACATCTTTAAAATCTAAAATCGGGTGAATGCCTGTGTCCCTTTTGGATACTATGAAATATCAGGAATAGAACCTGATTCTTTCCTCCTTTTTCAGTACCCACTTGATGGCGCCTTTTTCAAGTAAGCTTTCCTATCTCCTCATCACAGGAGAGGATAATGCTATATTGTGAAAGCTATTATATATAAATTGTAGAAAGAAAGAGACAAAGTAAAAAGACACAATGAAGACTGAAATGTAGTCATGAAAGAGCCAGCGTGGTGTAGTGGTTTAAGTGCTGGACTAGGACTCTGGAGACCAGGGTTCAATTCCCCCCTTGGCCATGAAACCCACTGGGTGACCCTGGGCAAGTTACATGCTCTCAGCCTCAGGGGAAGGCAATGGCAAACCTCCTCTGAATAAATCTTGACAAGAAAACCTCATTATAGGTTTGCCTTAGGGTTGCCCTAAGTTGGAAATTATTTGAAGGCACACAACAACAGCTTGAGTTTGTAAAGACCAATAGCTTTTGCAAAGCCAATGCTGAAATCATTGCATCAGAAACTGTCATTGCTTCCTCAATATGAACCAGCCCAGAGTTTGTACAATTTGAAATCATGCAGCTCTAAAATCATGCAGCTTATAAAGTTATGGTATCTTTTTAATTAAATGTGTGCCCTAACCAGTTTTATTCTTTTATAGTCCTTTGTGCCAGGTTGAATCACAGAATACCTACTCACCAGATCAACTGACCAGGAAGTAAATTCAATAAAATAAAATAAATAAAACATAAATATTTAACTGAAGATGGCAGAGAATGAACAAGGTCTAGGTACCCTTCTACCTTCTAACTTTAAAAAATACAACATGCCCTAGATTTGAACCTCATTTTCTTTGTCCAAAAATGTTATTGGGTTTTATGCTTCCGTATACATATGTAGATTCTCTAGCATGAACTACTTTTCAAGTGCATATTTTGTTATCTCCCTTGTGTGATGATAAACATTCCCTATTTGCTAGGCACACATAATCAGTGAAGATATATTTCAGATTTATCAGAGAATCATAGAATCATAGAGTTGGAAGAGACCACAAGGGCCATCCAGTCCAACCCCTTGCCATGCAGGAACTCCCAATCAAAGCATCCCTGACAGATGGCCATCCAGCCTCTGCTTAAAGACCTCCAAGGAAGGAGACTCCACTACTCTCCGAGGGAGTGTGTTCCACTGTCGAACCGCCCTTACTGTCAGGAAGTTCCTCCTAATGTTGAGGTGGAATCTCTTTTCTTGCAGCTTGCATCCATTGTTTCGGGTCCTACTATCATACTGTATAGATGAAGATCCATAATTCCCCCACCCCAATTTGCTAATCTTAGATCTTTTTATGATAGGGCACATTCAAATGTCATATTCCCAGTAAAATTATATGAAGTAAAATTCATATTGTGGAGATATTAGCAGATAGAAATCAAACACAAGAACTGATTTCCTAGCTGACAACTACTTTGACACGAAAATGCCAACTAAGCAACTTCTTAGCATTTTATTTTTTGGCCAGTGAAAATATTGGTCAATAAGATAGTTAGAAAGAATGTTTATTAGCTTCATGGACATATTTTAACTACACAATTATCATTTTACTCCTGTTATTACAGCATATATAACACATCAGCATTGCATTATACAGTTTAAAAAAGATGTCTGCAATCACCTTTAATCTAGGAAACATTCAGTAATCAAAAATAGGTTTGTAAAAATAAAGATACCCATTGTTAAAGCTTGGCAAACACATACTGGAGCAAATTAAAACCTCATTGGAATCACTCAGATATGGGTAAATATAATTATGCGCCAAATCTTTGAAAAATAAGTCCCTTTGATATATTTTTGATATCATGAAAACTACATACACCAGACAGGACTATTCCATGCTGTTCTTGCTATCACATCTGCTCTGTTTATTTTCCATGTGTCCTTTGGCTACATTGTGGAGTAAGTTATGAGTCATGTCTAGGCTGTCCTAGTTTACCTCTTGTTCTCTGAGACTGATGAAGAAGGAGACAAGTCAAGTGGGCAGGTCACAGAGCTAGTTAGCCTTTGATTTCACACATAGTAATTAATCAGAACTATTAATTTAAGGCAGGCATTCATTAACAGCTTACATTGGCTTTGCACCATGGACTTTAGTGAGCCTATGCCAGTGTATGCAGTCATTTCCCCACTTTAATGCACAAACCAGTTAAGACAGAGTATTTGGCCTGATGGTGGTGGTAGTGGTGGTGGTAGTGGTGATGATTATATTATTTGCATCCTGCTTTACCCCCAAATTGGGACACAAAGTGGCTTACAAATTAAAAAAAATACAATTAAAGCATTTATAATATAATTAAACTGGAATAGTATTAAAATGCATCACTCGTTAAAAGAATAAAACAGTTACTCTTGCTGGGGAAAACTGTGGTTTTGATTGAAAATTCACTATATCATGTATATATTGTTTGAAAAGCAGTGGGAGCCCTTTTCAAATTTTAAGAGTTGGATGACTTATGGCAACCCTAAGCCAAATCTAATGAGATTTTTTAATTTATTTTTTTGCAATTTTCTTCAGAGGGGGTTTGCCATTGCTATCCTCTCAGGTTGAGAGTGTGTGACTTGCTTGAGGTCAACCAGTGGGTTTTTGTGCTCAAGCAGGGAATCAAACCCTGATCTCCAGAGTTGTGGTCTAACACTCAAACCACTACACCAGACTGGCTTACAGCCTGATTAAGGTCTCTATCTTTTAAAAAGGTACTACAACTTGAGGAAGTCCAATCTTTTTGAAATTTGCTAGATGAAGTAGTTAAAAAGAACCCACCAATCTTAACACACTTTAAGTATTATCAGGTGGGGGATGAAATGTTTCCTTGGGGTTTTGTTGTTGTTCATTGCAGCAATTCAAGATATTGCTTCACTCAGAGTAAAAAGAGACTGGGTGGCATGGTGTGATAGTTTGAGTGTTGGACTAGGACTCCGGGGGACCAGGGTTCAAATACCTGCTCAGCCATGGAAACCCACTGGGCAAGTTACAGCCTCAGAACAAGGCACTGGCAAATTTCTCTGAACAAATCTTGCCAACAAACTCCCATAATAGGTTTGTCTTAAAAGGTAAAGGTAGTTCCTTGACATGAATCTCTAGTCATAACCGACTGTAGGGGGCAGTGCTCATCTCCATTACTAAACTGAAGAGCCAGTGTTGTCCAAAGACTACTCCACTTGTCATGTGCCAGCATGACTGCACCGAATGTTGTTACCTTCCCACTGAAGTGGTACCTATTTATCTACTTGCATTTGCATGCTTTCGAACTGCTAGGTTGGCAGAAGCTGGGACTAGCGATGGGATCTCACCCCATCATGCAGCACTTGGGCCTCGAACTGCCAAACTTCCAATCTTCTGATTGTCAGAATTGGCATCTTAACCACTAAGCCATCACATTTCTAGGTTTGTCTTAGGGTTGCTATAAATTAGAAATTATCTGGAAGTACACAACTATGAAACAGGAGGCTACAAGTATAAAAAAGGTGATGGTGCTAATATGAAGGTTTCGTCATATCATCCAACTGAAATGTATCATTAATTTTACAAAACAGTTTTTCCAAGAAGCCATAAATACATAACAATCTGAGTCACAGTGGACTCACCCTTCTGAAGTTATAAACAGGCACCATAATTTTATCACATTAATATCAAAATGGCCTCCTGCCATAATTCCTTTATTGAATCTTTTTTTCTTGAAGAAGTTGGTTATATTAATTGAGTAGGTCAAGAAAGAATTTTGATAGGCTCTTATAAGATTGATTTTGCTTATGTAAATGTACAGCATGCCTTTACTGCTTTCTCATGCTTAGACATCCACCATCAAACCAATTTCTATTGTTTTGATTCTTTGCATATGTCAGTCTAATGTTCCTAATCAGCAAGGGCCTCATGAAATCAATTGGACCATTGTATAGTATCAAGGCCTAGACAATATGTTAGGATACATGAATTTTCCTCACACTTCAAGAGTATTCAGTACATGTTGCATTTCATGTTGATGAGCAGAAGACTATTTCATTCTGATGTTGCCTGTAATTTCTACTCGAGCTATTGCTAAAGAACTCCTGGGCCCATAGTCAACTGGTATTTCTGAGCCTTACTTTGAAATATTTCATATTAATTCGATTATGGATGTATTATAGTATTATTAGTTTTTATACCTAAAACGAAACAGGTAATGTAGGAATGTGTAGATTCCTGACTGGAAATTCTTTTTACTGTCATTCTGCACAGCATATGTAACCTCTTGGGCAAGTATATATAGAGAAAGGCACATTTCTCAGTATCAAAATCCAAAAGCTTTGAATGTCAATCAATGTATGATATATGTTGTTGCTGTGTGCATTCAAGTAGTTTCCAATTTATGGAGACCCTAAGGCAAAACTATTGGGGGCTTTCTTGATAACATTTGTTCAGAGGGCCTTTACCGTCATCTGAGCTGAAAGAGTGTGACTTGCCCAAGGCCACCCAGGGGGTTTCCATGGCCAAGCATGGAAGAGTTGTAGTCCAGCATTCAAACCACTACACATTATATCCTACTTTTTCTCCCAGCCATTGTATTTTCCCAACAACCCTGTGAGACAGGTGAGGGTGAGAGACAATGACTAGCCCAAGTATATCCAAAGAGCTTCAAAATGGAATAGAGATCTGAACCTCTGTTTCCAAGATCCTAATCACAACACACATTGAATGTTATTTTTTAAAAAAATTATATACAGTGGGAGGTGAAAGGCATTGTTCACACAGAATCAGAAGGAAATTCAGAGGTTGTCTAAACCAGTGGTGCTCAACCTTTGGCCTCAGCGACTGACCAGATCTTCTGGGAGCTGAAGTTCAAAACCAGATCTAAGAACTCTTGATGATGCAACCATAGCACCTCTGGCATATTACTGTCCAGTCCTCTCTTTAAATATCTATGGTAAAAGAGATCATACCATTTCTCCTAAGGCCAATATTTTTGAAAAGAAAAAGTGGCAACTTGACATCCTGTCAATGCGCATCATGACAAGGACAACAGAAAGGATATCCATAATTGTTTCCTTTGCTCCTAGATTCATCACCCAGTGGCAGCAGGAGGTGTTTTAACAGGTGGTTTTGTAGGTTCCATTTATTCTAAGTCCATTTTAGTTGGAACTGGCCCTCACAGTATTGTTGTGCTAGTTAAAATGGGTGGAGGAGCATGCATACTGCTCCTATTAGAGTAAGAGGAATAAAATGTAATAAATTAATTGAAAGAATAACAATAGGGAAATGTTTTTTGTGGGTTTTTCAGGCTGTGTGGCCACGTTCTAGAAGAGTTTCTTTCTGACATTTCGCCAGCATCTGGGGCTGGCATCTTCAGAGAATAGGGAAATGGCTGATTAAGCCCAAGAGAAATGTTATAATTTATAAATAAACAATATAGCTTAGGCAGCAAGTAATTCAAAAAAATACATTATAAGATTTCAGCAGCTTGTTTAGAATGCCGTTTGCCTTTTAAGAAAACAATATTTTCTGGTATTCTTCCTGCATGCTGTAAAGATCTTTCAGATTTAGTATCTGACTTGCACCTCTGTTGCAGTGGTGACATACATTCATGTTATTATAGCACAGGACATGTTGCTCTGACATACCAAGAGTTAATATTTCCTGTTTCCAACAAAAACAATGGCTTCTGATTACCAGTCTCCCATAGTTTGTAGTTATGCACGTTAGCAGCACACAGTAGAACAACCAAGCCATTATACGCATCACTTATATACATCTTAGAGTAATGCCAATGTTTTCATTATGTCTGGCATGTATGCTGTAGAATGTTATTTATTTGTTTTACACACACTGCCGTTATAGATTTTTTTAAATTCCTTGTTTCATAAAACAGAAAGACTCTGTAGATTTCTTTATTTGTTCCACAAATGAGATCTAAGCAAAGGCTGGAAAACATGGCTACATACAGTCCATTTTCTGTAGAATTCTACTCAAAGGTCAACTATGCTTGTTAAGATTTTTAAAGTGTCTGTTTCATTTAAATTACATTTTTAAAAACTGAATAGAATCATTCAGGAAACAATACTACATCAATGAAAAAGACAGCAAATGTTTAATAGATCAGCTATGTTTTTAAAAAGTGTTATATATTCTCTTTATGGACATTTCATTCATAGTCACTTACAGTTGATTGATTTCCTGGTGCAAATATATTAATTTAGTGATATATATGGTAATCCTTTCCTCTCCATTATATACGAAAGACCCAGTCTTAGTGACTATAAGAACATGATAATATTTTTGTAGTTTATCAGTAACAAATACTGAATGGAGATTGACTTTCAGTATGAAGAGCAATGCAATAACGACTTGCAATAAGATGGCAGCCAATATGTTTCTAAGAAGTGAGAATCTTGTAGTATCACTACAGAATTCAACATGCATGGGAAAACATATATATAAATGTCATAAATGGTAAACTCACTCATCTGGTAAAAGCATTTTTGAAATTGTGAGGAAACTCTTTTGTATGCAAATGAGTACGAAATTGCAGACTGTACTGTCAATTTCTATCTATTTTCTAGCACGTGGAAAATTTTGAAACTTTATAATCACCAGGGGTAAAGCCTAGCATCAAGAATTTAATGGCTTTAAATTTATGATTGCTTTAAAGCCAGCATTTGTGGTTCCTGGAGGAGAAGTCTCAAGACCAGTACATTAATTGCAACTCTGAATATTTCCTCTTTGAAAATGATTACCCAATCCAGGCAGCAACTAGGTTTCAAGACTAGATCTTCTCCAAGATATTACATGTGGCCAAAAATATAATCATATAGAAGTATAACTGTACTGCAATAGTATTGATAGTAATAAACACAGGGATTTATTTTAAATGGGGCTTTAAAACCCACTTCCTTTTCTTCCCATTTGCTATTTATTTTGCAGCTACTCAATATTCCTGTGCAGCCAGCAAAAATCCTAACTATTTCATCACTCTGTAGCACTGTTGAAAATTTTATTAATGAAAGCACAATATTTCTGAATTAAATCTTCTTATCCAAATCTGAACAGATAAACACGCACACTGTGTGTATATTTTTCTTTTCAAAGTTGTATTTTAATGTATGGCTTTCAGTTGCAAATCAGCAATTCCTATCATGTGCATCAAAGCCAAGTTTGTAATGCCACCACTCCTACTTCCTATATCCTACACTTTTGAATGAACCTTTCAGTAGCTCTAAAGGCTTATGTGAATAATTAAAAATAAAACCTTTAAAACTAGGATTTTGGTTTATAATACATATAGAGTGCCAATTCTGAAGCCATGTGGTGTGTATAAATCAACACAGCAGGATGTAATCACTGTTTCTTTAGGTTCTATTTACATTTCTCATCATCTGCCTTCCCCCTACAGTTTGGCATACAAGTAATCCAGACTTGGGGAAAGATGAATATTTGATACACAAGTTCCCAACTAGCTTTTTGTGTGGTATAAGGACCCACCATTGGATTGTGGGAAGATTGCCAATGGTCCAATAGTATATTTTAGGGACAAGCAGGCATAAGGAATGAGGCAGAAACTGAATAATGATGGATATGGTGAATACAAAACAAAATGAAATTTTAATTGATAGTTTGCAATAATTAAACATGGGGAAATGTCTAATCTTTGTATCATTAAGATGAAGAAAAGAAAGGCAACATCTGAC